GCCGCGTAAAAAAACGCCTCCGGTTCATCGCCCCATCGTTTTCCAACCGGCCGTAAAAAGAAAGCAGCATTTCCACAATCTCTAGGGTGGTAAACAGAGTTGATTATGAGAATGGGGAAGCAAAACAGTTTTAAATGATCAAGTTTTAAAACGTTTATTTTTGCAGATTGCAAGCCTAGCTGGGACACAGGACATTAACAACCTGCTCCCACCCCCACCTCGCACCCTGACCTCTGACCTCTGACCTCTGACCTGAGCAACCGCCCACAGCAGCATATACACTCCCTGCGTCCCACCTGCCTGTGAAAAACGGAGCGATCCGGCCACTCGGAGTTCACATGTACCTGCTACCAGTCTACACAGACTTTGTGGGTAGGTGTGTGCGCGGGGCCCGTTCCACAAGATCACAGGAAAATTGGAAGAGCTTTCATTTTATGATGCGTTTCACTCTCCTCACATTAAGGACATCTTACACACCATCAAGGTTCCCCAATAGCTGTGAGTGATCCGAAACTCCTTGATCCACCTTATCTTGGGGGAAATAATCCAGACTGTGCACCAAGGCAGGTGGAAACAAGACCCAGCATAATGCCTGAAATTCCTCACTAGTATGGGAAAGGGGAATTCTGTGTGAAGGGCTTTGTGTGATCCACAGTGTTATACCACTGAACTATAACTTTCTGCACACCAGCTTCATATGCAGGATCTCTGGGTCTGTATATTGACTGGTTTCAGGGGCCATACTCCAGTGTCCTGCCTAAAGTCCCCCCTGTGCGAAAACAACCTGGCTCCCCCACAGGTCCTCCTCTGTCCACCTGCTGCTGCAGATTCTCTCCCCTGCAATGCAGGGGGGCTGCTGCTTGTCCCCTGTACCTCAGGGTGTCCCCTTCTAATGCAAGTGTGGAGGACTTTGTCTAACAAAAGCGGCGTGCAAGTTAAAGCAATTATCCTCATGCCTCTCACTGACAAATATGCCAGTCTCACAGAGTCGAGAGCTCTGCTGGGGAACCTGAAACAACAACCTCCGCTCCAATTCCAGGTGTCTTTCCACTCCCTCCTCCCCCCCCATCCCCCACACAGGCAGGGGAAAAGAGAAGAGCTCTTTGTGATCAAGTGAGCTTCCAGCGCCAGTGCGCGAGATCTCAGCGGCACAGCGCAAATTTCATCAAAGGACTCTTTAAGGGCGTCACAGCCTCAGCTGCCCCCGGAGGACAAGGTGCTCCGGTAAAGTTCAGGCCAGCCCTGCTCTGTTGAAGCTCAGTTTGCGATCGGGGCTTGTGCAGGACAAACGTGCTGTTCTCGCAAAACACGCAGACACAAACCATCTCACGCGCAAGACGTCAAAGACCGGACCCCGCCCCTGAGCCGGCGCCAGACCAGGAATATTGTGTAGCAGCTGACTGAAACAGCCTAAATCCAAACTCCTGCAAGTCCTGGTACGTCTGCAGATTCATTCTAGGTCGGCTGACAATTACTCAGTTTCCTTATAGACATAACAGCCTATTCTTTACTGGTCTGTAAGGCGTTTGAGACCCAGGGGAAACCTGTGAAACCAGAGGTTACTCTTGGCCCTGCACACGTTTCCTTGTCTTACACTGAAGAAAACACACAGCAGACAGAGCACAGGTCCGTAACAACAGCTCCAAAGACCCAGACTCGTCACACGCCCACTGATGGAGCATGACTGTCAAAGAGACAGTCTGAGCTAGCAGTTCTTTACAGGACACTGGGGAACATTAGCTACTCGGTCACACTGGCCACTGGTGGAGATCCCTGGAGCCTCATTAGCACCTGTGCTTATGTGTGGGTCAGGAATGACATTAGTTATTCTGTGGTCACTAGTAGACTAACCTCATGCCGGTAGCTGTTCTTATCTAGGAACAGTGGGAATGTTGGAATTATGCTTGATCTGCGGAGTCACTGCACAATCAGGCCAAATCCTTAACAGTTCCTGGGGCTCTCTCTCACACGTGGGAACAGGATCCTAACACTGGGAATCGGGCTGAAACGTTCCAAAATCAACCCAGCACACCACATGACTACACAGCCCTTATCAGGCCACGTATTGTACAAGCACTGCCTTCATGAGTTAAAGACACTCTCGAGGACACAGCGCTTGGGAGCCAGGAGCTGACGTGGCGAAGGAGCCTCGAAGACCTGCGGGCCTGCTCAGGTAAAGCAGGGGGGAACAATGTGGAAGACCTGCCAAGAGATGTCTCCGTTTAGGCCTCAGGAGGCTTCACAACCAAACAGTCCTGACCGCAAAGCTCCTCCGTACAGCCTGCGTCTCAACACTCACGCAGCCTCTGCACAGTCATGAATCTGCCGGTACGTACCGGGACATTCAAAAAATACAACTTTAAAAAAAAAAACACAGCCAAGCAAATTCAGCAGACACGTCTCTGCCAGGCCGACTCCAGCTGGCACGAACAGGAACGGAAAAGGAAGTGAAACAGCAACCAAAGGCCTCCCTGAGATTCTCGGATCTATTTTTCATTCCGACCTTTCCGTTCCGGGGCAGGAACACTCAGGCGACGCCCCCGGCCGCGGGCAGGGCCAGGGCAGACGCCGCAGGGGACAAGACGGGCTGCCAGGCAGCAGGTCAGGTCGTACTATTTGGTCCTGCGGAGATTTAGAAACTCGGGCATCTGAGGCTTTTGGCAGCTTCCCTGAGGCTCAGGAAAATGCCAGGACATCGTACTGCCTTTTCACGCCACTAATCCACATAATTCTGGTTTCATAACACCCCCCACCACCACCTCCCACCAAAAAAGGTTTAAAAGAAGGTTCTTCTAAGAGCCTGTTCAGTCCAGGAGCAGCACCAATGCTGACGCTGAGCTCTGGTCATGATAAACGTCCCAGATCCACAGAGCATCTGGCCTTGAGCTGCTGAACATGAAATTACAGCCCCGGCGATGTGGTTCGCAGATGGCCACACAGGGCCAGGTCCTGCCCAGCTCGAACCGACACTAAAACAGCTCCAAACTCACTCATAGACAACACGCACAGCACTGAACTTCAAGCAGGACTTTTGCAGACATTAATCCAGCTCATCTCAGCAGAATCACCTCATGACAGAACGCCCCCTCCCCCCGCCCCCATGAATAATCAGGGGTGCCCCAGTAAAGTTAGGAGTCACGCAGCCCACCATGTTGGCAGGACTCTCTCTGCACCCCAATGAAAAGCTCTTGTCTGAGGCTGAAAAGTCTGAGCCCTACAGTCCAGACCTCTCCAGTTCTCCAGACCTCTCCAGTTCTCAGCTGGACTACGTCTGAGCTCAAAGAGTACAGGAGCACACCTGACCAGGCTTCACTGGGCCTGGGTGGACTTAAATCTGGGAGAGCATCTCCCTTGTAGCAACAACCACTAGGCCCAGAGCTGGGTCCTGCCCATAATCGAAGCGGTCTCTGTTGGTGAGGCTCATGCTCTTGCTGAGATGTGGACTCAGGCTGGGCAGGTGTCAGATGATAGTGGGCACCATCTTCATACCCAGAGCTACAGCGAGAAAGTCAAGGTCATCGACCAAATACAGGGGTACAAAATATGGAAAAATGGAAATTCAAAACCTTTTTTTTTAGGAAAGAAAATCTACCTGCAGAAAAGTACTGTTAAGCCTGTGAATAAAATGCAATATCTATGCAGACGCTTTTAAGCAAAAATTCGTTCATGGGCATATCTGGACATAAGCAGAGGAGCTCTGTTGAGATCTGGCCTTAAAAAAAAAACTAGAATGGAAACTTCATATCCTCTGCTCTGCCTAGAGTCTGGGCGCTGAGTCATGGTTTTGTCAGAAGCCTGCAACACAATGGGGACAAAACCATGTATCACCTGCATGGCATCCTGAGCCCTGAGGCCCGGTCTATCTCACCTAACAGGTTCCACAACCCCTCCATCCCCATCCCAGCAAAGCAATCTGGCAGTGTGCCCCACGTGGAAAATTTGCACTCATCTCTCCTGTTGCCCAACCCACCTGGAGAAGTGCAGGCGTGGTCCACAGCTCTCTTTAAAACACACGTCCATGAGCTCATAACGAGGGAGTGTTGTGTTATTGTGGGAGAAATGTGCCAAAGGAGGGGTAAATGCCAATTGAATGGCGTCGATCGACATGATGCACTTTCAACTAGTAAGAAAATAGAAGCGATACACACAGGACGTGTTGCGAAATCCCCTTTCATCAACATAGGTGTTTTTCCAGAGAGCATGACGCGGCACAGTGACGTCACTAGCCAGCAGGAAAGAGTTGGCCAATTCCACAGACAGCGAAACGAACGAGGAAGATTTCACGGTGCTCGTATACTTCTGACGACAAGAGCCAGGCGTTCCTTTTCTAGGTACGCTGTCCTGTGGACAGGTACAAAGACGCACACCTGTTGGAGGTGACAGAGAGCGCTGCCCTGCGCGTCCAGGCGCTTCGAGATACGCGCTACAATGAACTCGATTATAGTCCTTCTAGCATTGGACAGCGTCATAAGTAGAGGGGCAGTAGCGTCAGAACAAGCTCTCAACCCGGCTTGGGAAGTCGGAAGAGCCGAGCGAAGTGAATATTTTCCTGCCCCCCAGGAACAGCCACGCAACTCGCCCAGAGCAGGAGGGAACTCCGTCCGGCTACCTGCGAGTCTCCGGGGGCTCCGGCGGTTGTCGCTTTAGAAACAGGCGGTTCCAAAAGTTGATTACTGCTCTCCTAATCACGCCTGTCCTTGCTGGTTTCGCGGTAATGAAAGACATAAGCTACCCAAATCCTCCCCCCCACACACACACAGACACACAACTCTCTCCTCGGACCTGTCAGCTGTGTGGATAAATAGTTACGAGCGACTTTCCCCCCACGATGTCCTGTACAGCACCTCCGCCAACAAAGAGGTTACTTCGTTTCCAAAGCGGCGCCGCTCAGACACGGCGTGCCAAGACACACAGCGCTGAGGGGGGGGGGGAGGACAGAAGGCAGGGTCCGACCCCCGCCCCTCGTCTACAGTTTGGCGAGGACGGGGGCGGCTGCTCACCTTTGTAAGCCAGCGGGCCGCTCACGGCGATTTTCACGGTGCCCGTGAGCGACTCGCCGGGGCTGTAGACCACTTTGCCGTCGGCGAAGGCGATGTCGAACTCCTGCAGCTTGCCCATGTCGGCGGCGGAGCCCGTCTCTCCCTCCTTCTGCCTCAGTCGTCCGCGGGCAGCTTGGCCGTGCTCCTCAGAGGCGCCGCACACGGCTGCGCTGTCCCACCTGCTGCTGCTGCTGCTGCCGCTACTACTGCCCCTCTCCTCTCTCTCTCTCTCCCTCCCTCACTCCCCCTCCCTCTGCGGGGCGGCGCCGACGTCACAGTGGGCCCGGCTATTCCCTCGCCCCTGTGGCTCCGGATCCCGGCCGCCGGACCGGCGGACCGCAACACCTTCCCGGCTCGCACCGCCCTCGCCGTCACGTGTGGCCTGCAGTCCGCACGTCATGAGGGCGCTGCTTTTCGCCCCTGGAAGTGTCAGTTATCCGCTCCCCGGGCTGGGAGACTCTTGTCTTCGAGATTATTTTCTTCCAGCGTGTCCTGTCCTGTTTTTTTTGTTTTTTTTTGGCTCTCTTTGTTTTGTTTTGTTTTTTCCCAGCCTTCTCTTGCGTCTCAGAGACAAGGGCGGAGTTCGTCAGAGGCGATTTCAAAAAAAAGTTTTAAAAGCCCCCCCCCCCCCGAGACGCGCCGAGATGCGAGTCCAGCGGGCAGCTTCAGGTTCAGACCAGCCCGGTCACGGGGATCGGGAAATGAGGGAAGGGAGGAGAGTGCAGGCTGGACTCGGAACTCAGGACGGGAGACTCTTCGTTACACAAAGAGTTGTGGGTGTCCAGAACAAGCTGGCCAGCTGTGCTGTTGAGGCCGGCTGACAAGCCCTGACCCCAGTGAGGCGACACAATGTGTATATATATACACTAACTCGTCCCAGGATGGAAGAGGCATTTAAGAATGGAATCATGGTTCGAAGCCATTCCGCCCATTTAGCCCAGATTTTTTAAAAAATAAAATAATAGTCGTTATGTGAAAAACGACTTTGGCAAATGTTAAGTTGTAAAGAGGGCTGGAAAACTCAAGTTCGTCTTGGCTAGAACCCCCATCCCTCCCCCTGAGCATCAGCGATGTAGTTTTTATACACTACTGGAGTCTCTCAGTCTCACACTTAGGAAGAGCAGAGCAGAGAGAGGGAGATGCCGGTTGCCATGACAACAGCCTCTTGGCTGCTGCACTGCTGCTACAGGTCCATGGTCATGGTCTGGTGGCTCCGAAGTTGGGGGGGTCCACAAGGCTGTAGAAGTCCGAGGTGAGACCCGTCTCTGGTCACACAGCAAGGGTCAGGAGCACAACAGGGCACAGCTCTCTAGCTCAATGGTCCAGGCTGGGAGAGCCTGTAAGATTGTAAGATGACCAACACACACACACACACACACTGAAGTGAATTCCTTCCCCGTAGCCCAGACTGCGTTTCACCCCGGGCGCAGACCCCAGTGGAGCAGGCTAGGGATCTCTGTGGAACTGGGACGACGATAGAATTAGATTGCGTATTTTACATTTACACTAGCCGTGTAAAACCGCTGGCTGTGAATTTCTCTTCCTTGCAATGTGGCTTAGGAATTAATCGGCCCCTTCGGGGTAGACAGGAAGTGCTGGACCCCCCCGCCCTTACACACACACACACCCCTCTGATTGCGGTTTCCTGTGACCCAGTAGCTCACACTACGCCCCTGATCCCTGGGGACCCCTGTGTCTACTGAGCTCCAGCTCTCCGGTACCTCTTGATGACTTCGCCGATCTGGAACTCAGTCCCAACTTTGAAAACCACCTCACCTCAAGCATGAAATCCACTGCCTTCAGCGCAAGGAACGGTCACCATCTCTCCTCAGCCCCTTCACCCTGATTCCTGTCCACACGCCTCTTAACAGAGTCCAGCTGCTGATCTTTCAGACAGCACACCTGCATGGGGGCAGGTTCAAACCTCAGAAACTGTTAAACGGGTACACATCCCGTTTAAATATTTGCCCCAAATAGAAGATAGAAATCAATCGGGCAG